CGGTTCTGAGAGCCACTCAAATTAAAGTGCCCAGAGCATCTCATGTATCAGTGTCCTGGTGCTTAAAAATGGCGATGGGGGTGCTTTAATGAAATTTGTCAAACAAGCTTTAATTAGAGTGCCCCTGCTGCCATTTTTAAGTGCCAGGATGCTGATACATGAGACACTGGATTCTACTGGAGCATGGTAATTACCATGGTCCAGCTAACTCAGTTAATCAAGCCTGCTTCAACATGCTGTAATTACATCATGTTGGAGCAGCCTCACTGCTTGTGTATAGGTGCCCTTAGAGACTAACTGGTTGTTACTCTACAGTCGTTGCTCTGCCTGCAGTATAGTGCAGACATACGGAGCTAACTTTAAACCAGCTAGCTTGTATACAAGAAACATCCTAGCTGCAGCAGTACAAAGTTCAGGGTAGGCTGCAAAACCTGCCTGAGAAGCTGGTTAAATACACTGTCCTCTCCTGTCCTGTCCTGCAGTCAATGCAGGCAACACTGGAGGGGTGGTTTGAGGGGTGGGAGGGAGGGTGCGAGGGATGTGGGGATCCCCCACACACTCCCCCCATGGTGCAGCAGTGGGTGGGGGCACTGGTGCCTGGCTCTGGCTAGCACTGCAAGTTGCAGCGAGAAGCGCAGCCCCCACCAGCCTGTTTGTTTCCCCAGGCACTTCCTGCACTTGTGGGGCAAAGGAGGGAAGCCCCAGGCACTGGGGCCTCTGCTTTCCCCACCCCACTCCAGTGTGTGGGGCTTCCCTCTTGTGCCCCATGAGTGTGGGGAGTGCGTGGAGAAACAAACCGCCTGGCGGGTGCTGTGCGCCCCACAGTGCTGGCCAAAGCCAGGAGCCAGGCACCAGCACTGAGCAGAGGGCTCCCTGCTCCTCCTGCTGTTGCTGCCACCCCCCGCTGCCTGCCAGGGCTGTGTGCCAATGGGGGGGTGGGGGCGGTTGTGGGAGGGTCCCCATACCCCTCCTTCCTCACACCCACGCCCTGCCCACCTGAGCTCCACACTGCTGCCACCCCCCTGGGCAAGGGCTCTGTCCTGCAGCCAGCCCCAGCCCCACGCTCTGCACTCCCACCCAGCTGCAGCCCTGCCCCCTCCCACAACTTCCCTACCTGCTGCTCAGAGGGAGCATGATGCCGGGGAAGCCTGAAGCAGCAGCCCTCCCCTGTGCTAGCAGGGTCCACCCTTCTGCCCATGAGGGCAGGAACAAGGAATAATAGGATATGTTGGGGGCAGGTGTAGGTGCCTCGCTCCCACCCTTGTGGGTGGAAAGATTGAGCAGGGCACAATTTGTTGGGGGTTACTGAGGGCTGGATGAAAGTGCCTGGTGGGCTGAATCTGGCCTGCGGGCTGTAATTTGCCCGTCCCTGCTCTAAACTCACTTCTTCTGTAGAGCATTCACCATGACCAACAATACTTGAGTCCATAACTTCTTATCTTATCTGCTGCAGTTTCCCAAGGTAGATTTATATAAGAGTGTGGTTGGGGCGGGGTGGCGGGGTTAGGTGGAAGAAACCATCTCTTTACATATTTTGTACAGCTTGTGACAAAAGAGGAGAGGCTTGTAGCTAAAGCACAGGGCTAGGAGTCAAAAGAAATGGGTGCTCCTCTCAACTTTGTCATAGACTTTGACTTGGGGCAGATGATGTCATTAACATTTCTAAAGTGGCTTATGGAAAGTGCTATCTAAGTGGACATGGCAATTTATAGCCACATCTCAATAGCTGTAACTGGTAGGCAACACAAGGCTGCCTGAGTGTTCCTGATATACAGATCAATTTGTCAGTTCTTCAGCTCTTGTTGAATTTCCCTGCCTAAGTGGCCAGAAAGAGATTAAAGTTGTCAAGGGATAGGATTGATGGTATGGTGTTGTCTTCCAGCAGGTAAGCTGTTATCTCACAGACCTTGTGGAGTGTAAGCCTGGAGTCTGGGGGTCCCTTCATTCTTCTTTCAAAATGTGCTAATGAAAATGGCAAACAGAACTGATCAGCAAGTATAGGCAGATTTCAGCGTATTACTAGAATACTACACAAGTTGGACTTAAGCACCCTATTTACTTAAACTGAGTTAATTGCTCCAATGACCATTTTTCTCACTCTGTTTAGATGTGGGCATTACTGTATTTGCTCATATACCGGAGAATGTGACCACCACCTAACAAAAATTTTGTCCAAACCCTTTTGATTGTCAAAGAATTATATCAGAGATGAATTTAGTATGTTACATTCAAGTACCATGGTAACAAAATCACTTCCTGTCTCCTCTGACCATATTTATCTCTGCAATGATTTGCGACTGCATTTTCATTTACACAGACACCAGAATCTACTCTGCGGTATGGGGAACAGAACACATCCTGATAACATTCTGCTCCAGAACCACTGACTTCTATCACTTGAGATGAATAAGAACCATCATCAGTTTCAGAGGTTATAGCTCCTTTTTTGGCCATCCCAACAGGGCAAGATAGTTACAGACTTTGGAGCAGGTCTGATTTTATAGGGCAGAAGAGTGCATTGTGCCTGCACATGCACCACTACTCCTCAGTAGCAGTCGTAATACACAACCAATGGCGGACTAATTTGTTCTTAAGCAGGGAAAGTGGGTCACACATTAAATTCAATAATCAGGTGTTAATTTCTAATAAATCATTGGCTTTGTACAAGCAGATACCCAAGTTCTAATAAAAAACAAACACATGTATCAGGAGCAATAAAATGAGTTACTTTTGGGTTCAAAACCAAGACTAACTCCAACCTTATTATCCAAGCTAAAGGAGACTACTTGTAAATTCTCACATTGGCAGTAACACTTGTAGCCATTCTTAGGCCAACCACCAGTGCATGGGCAAACGATGCACTGATAACAGCTTGATCCTTTCTAGATTGGCCAAGGGCCTAGTTATGTCTGTGCGTTAGTTATACACCAAATGTGTATATAATCTAGTGGACAGAGCATTATGATCTAACCCCAGCTCTCAGATTCTTGGGACCTGATCCAAAACTAGGGTTGTGTGAAACAGCACTGTTTTGTTTTGATGGGACAGTGTTTTGTTTCGCGTTTCATTTAGTTTTGAAGCGCTGTTCTGTTTCATTTCATCAAAACTGTTTCACTGTTTTGATGCTGTTTTGATGTTTTGCCCATAGGCTATAATGGGGAAGCATGAAACTTCCTATAACTTTGTCATTTCTTGGCAGATTTGGATGAAAACAGTGGGGATGGTAGCCCTTTCTGAGGGCATGAAGCTTGCCAAATTTCAAGGAGATAGGTGCAGGGGTGTCTGGGAAACTGCACCTCAAAATCTTGGAAGCAAAACTTGTGTTACTTGTAAGTGTGAAGGCACAGGGGGGCAAAAACTACAGGGATGGCAGCCTCTGCTGAGGCCACAAAGCATGCCAGGCTTCAAGAAGATAGGTGAAAAGGTTTCTGGGAAACCGCACCTCAAGCTGCTGACAAGCAAAACTCATGACGTGTGACTATGTGTGTATGTTAAGGTGCAGTTGGTTTTCTGTCCCTCCCCCAGAGCACTGGGATTGGAAGGAACCTCAGGGAAGGATCACAGTCACTGGCCAGCTGCAGATGTCAATATCAGAATAGTCCTTCCCTCCTCCCTCTCCTTAGTTTCTGTTTCCCTGTAAGCAAGCCCAGCTTTGAAACTTGAAATGTCTTGAAACTTTTGAAACGTTTTGACTGCCCTCAGTTTGTTTCAAGTCTGTTTTGAAGCCTTTTGTTTTGTTTCAATTTCATTGTTTCGAGCTTGAAACAAGTTGAAACAGCGTCAAAATGAAACACCTGGTGAAATTTCGTACAGCAGCCTTATCCAAAACTCACTGAAGTCATTGAAACTTTCCCCATGAGCTTCAGATTCATCTTTTATTTTGCACTGTGGTCAATACATCTTTTTTAAGCAGTCACCCTGCTGGTCCATGCAGCTGTTGATTTACATCAGCTCGTAAAGTCTTCTTGATGCCGCTTCAAAATGGGGCTCAGGGGAAGGGACACAGTTGAGAAACTCTGTAATAGAAAGCAGATCTACATATCCATTTATCCTATCTTTCATTGAGAACATGGTGTTAGATATGTTGGTAGATTTGGGGGCCCAGAGGATCAGTTTTAATCTCAATAAACACCTGTTCCTCATTTGCATTTGCACTCACTTTTAGGCCAATTTATACTACCCACAGCAATACAAAGAGGCTTTAGAGTACATGTCCCCTCAGGATATAACCTCATTCTCTTACATAATTCATCTGTCCACAGACGGAAGGATAAACCTTTGTAATAGGATTTGACCACAACCATATTTCTAAATGTGATTTTGTAGGGTAGTTAGGTTCACACAAATAAGCAGACCATAAAGGTGAGTGTCTATCTTGTTTAAAATGTAGTTCCTTCTGATTCTACCCTAGCTAGTTTTTAGTGAGTCTCAGGGATTTCAGTTCTACAGGAATGAGACACATTTACATCCAATTATGCAATTTGCAGGTAACAGACCAGTATATTTATATCTGAATTCTCTAGTTTGCTAACTCCATGCTGTGTGACTGAGGCTGTGGTACAGAATGAGGCACAGCCCTCTGCAGCTGCACACTCCACCGTGTCTGAGCAGAGCTTGGGTGGGGTGAAGAATCCAGCTCAGAGCATTTATTTTATTAAACAATATCTTCTGGTGAATGAAATGTGCATCCCTCATCCTCACCTCAGTGCAAAGGCCCTCTGAATCCTGTGAATGGCATGCAAAAAAGCAAACCCCTTCCTAACACTAAAGATGAGGAATGCAACATATCTGGTCTGTTGGGCTCAAAGGGGGGCAGGGGGAGATGATTAATCATCAGTGAGGGAGGATGACTGAAGAGGGTAAGTCAGCATCTCTAGGTATTTTGTTTTTGTTCTCTCAGTGTTCTTTAAATGAATCTTTATTGGATGGGACTCTACTGTAAACAATTCCAAGAGCTTTGGAATCTTGTCTGAAGTCAGCAGCTCCCACCTTTTCTACCAGTGTTTGAAATCTACAGATGCCAGAGCCTTGTTTCATATTAGGCCAAATACTGCTGCTTTTCAGGATCAGCACCACGTTAACCTCAAAAGACTTGGAGGTTCAGAGAAGTGTTCCAAAATTCACCAGGGAGAGGAGGAATTCCTAGTTCCATTGCACTCAATGTGGCTTTGCCACAGACCAAAATATCTGGAGCCAAGTCCTGGCCTAACCGAAATCTTTGATAAAATTCTCACTGAATTCTGTAAGGGCTACAGCCTTACCCCCTCTATTTATCTGCAACTTGGGGGTCTACAATGTTGTAATGAAAGCATCTGCTGTGACCCAGTCAGGTTATACAAGCCAGGTGTGTGGTTGAGATACGTTAGTACTTGGATGGGAGACTAACAAGGTTTAGCACTCTAGGACAGGGGTGGGCAAAATACAGCCTGTGGGGCCCCTAAAAATTTAGAAAAATAATATTTATCTGCCCCTGGCTGCCTGTCAAAGATGACAGGAGTCAGTGGCAGTAGGACCCAGGGGGAGCCAGCAGCAGGACTAAACAGCCACAGCAGCAAGGCCAGCCTGCCTCTGTATCCTGCCCCACACCAGCTGGAAACTCAGATAAAAAGAGCGGGGTGGGGGAGGGAGGCAGGGAAGGACCATGGACGATCATCCCAAGAGCTGTTCTAATTAAAGCACCACCCCTACCCCCCACACCCTGGAGCACATGTAAAGACACTCATTGACTTCAGAGGGAAAAAGGAGTAGACGCAAGACACACAGCATTTACTCCAGAGAAAATGCTGTTTTCTGGTGTAAAGTTACTTATACCAGAAGAGGTTTTTCTATGCAAACATAAAGTTTGAATGCACTTGTAACCATAAAGGCCTGATGGCATTTATTGTAATAGCACAGATCTTTACTTTGGCATATTGGACAAATTCCATCTCAGCCCATCTGAGTGTGTTCTGGAGTTTCAAATGGATATGATGGTTCTTTGATTCCTGTCATAAGCTATTGACTGGTATTGATATCTTGCTTAAAAACCTGCTGTCTTTGAACCACGAGTTGTAAAGAGTTTTGGAATCACAAGGGATGAAACATGCTATAGAACAGAGAGACTAAATCTCCTAAGGCCTCAATGCATCCTCCTTTCCAGCAGGCCATGAGGACCTAGTCCTCTCAGAATACTGGTCCTTTTGCTACTCTCCTGATCCCAAGGGCTAGGGACAGACATTCAAAAAGCCTGAGTCTGAATTGATTAAATCTTTGCAGGTTAGTTTACCCTGGCTAGGCTAAATCAGTTTTATAATAGGACAGACATCCTAGAAATGCAGGCACATGCCTGCAGTGGCTCAGGCTAGAAACCAGGGGGTGCTAGAGCAGCCCTCCCTCTCTTCCACAGCATGGATCTGGGGGGAATGTGGCTAGGTTCCCAGGACCTCTGATTAGCTCAGCAGGGAATTGATAACAGTGTTTATCAACCAATTAAGAAAACAACAGAAGGACATTACCGGCTACCTGCTGATTCTGCCTGTTGATTCAGCACAGACCGTAGCCAGCATGTGGTCTGCTAGCTAATACACAGACACCTATCTGCAAGGCAGAGGGAAAAGGTAGATTCCTGCTTAACAAGGAGTGGTGAGCGGAGTGGGGAAGCAGCCCACAGTGTTTGGAGCTCCAGCCAGGGAGCAAAGGGGAAGGGCCAACCCTGCTGTGCAGGCAGAGAGCCTTGCCCAGCCCAGAGAGCATGCCAGGATGCTGGGGGTGTCTGGTTTATCTTATACCAGTAAGGGGTCTGGGACAGACATTGCACAAACCGTTTTGAGCCAAATCAGTTAAGTCTGATACTACATTCATCCAGGTTTTTCTCAAACTGGTTTATGTGCACCGAACATCTGTTCTGTTACAGGGTTAAACCAGTTTCTGATCACTTAAACCAGTTTGTGTGTAATGTCTGTCCCTAACCCAAAAAGGACAGAGGCATTAAAAAAAAAGACAGTTCAAACTTTGTCATCCTGCTTTTAAAAAAAAAGGCTTAATTCCCACGGGGGGAGGGAGGAGGGAATTTTCTGCTTGTTCTAATATTATTGAGACGGTCTATCATAGCGTCCAAAAATGTTCCTTGAATAAAAGTTTGCCTTTAATCTCTGTATAAACAGATTTTGCAGTGGTATCCAGAGAAGCCCTTTGTCTGAACTGAGTTTAGAATTGCTGAAGATCATGTTCTGCCTGAGAGAAGGACTAGGGCAGACTGAAAGAAATCTCTTCCTAGCACCACAAGCTTAAATGTATCTAAAATGTCATCACTGCAGCTCTGATGCATTTGAAACAGTATGACCACAAGGCAAAATTTACGTTCCCCTCCTCCTAAAGCACAAACCCGTATCCTGCCAGCTAAGAAAGCATCTTCATGAGCTGCAAAAAGTATAGAGTCTATGGCACCTATTTGAGGAGCAAGACGCACAGATACACACAGGTACGCTTTTGTTTATTACAGTATTCAGCTCCTGTGGAAATATCAGAAGAATTGGATCTGGCTTAAAGCAAAACCCAAGGAAACCTGAGCACGGTGATCTAACATGTTTAGGAGCCAGTGGGGAAGGTGCAGAATGTAGCATATAGCATATTTGTAAAGGCCTGTTCTTGGAATTCTGAGCCCATAAATAACATTTGTTATAAGTTATTAGGTACCTACCTGCCCCAAGGGCTGCCAGGGAAAAGAAATAAGCAGACCAAAGGAGCTTAAGCGCATTCCAATCTGGGGAGGAGAAAGAGTCTGCAAAGACATCTCCAGCAGACTTATTGCAGTCCCTTTATGAGCCTTTCCTTTTTCTTACCTGGAAGGTAGAAGGGGAAGAAAATGATTTCTTTCTTTGACAATGGTACAGACACAACTCTTCTGCTGTGATCACACCTGCCATAGTGCTTTAAGCGAGACTGACAACAGCCAGAGGGTGTTTTGGTGACTGCTCATATCACAGGGAAGTGACAGTTATACATCATAGCATGTCAAGCTTTGGAGAAAACTCACAGTAACAAAGTGGAAGTATTTAGATCTGTGCAGAGATATTAGGTTTAGCTTCACCTGTACAGTATTTGAGGTCCATTTAAGGTAAATTGTCATTTACTAAAGCTGAGAAACAGAAGACAAAGTGCTGCAAGTTGATGGATGTCTCCCTGAGAGGCCTCAAACCAGATACAGCTAAAGAAAACTGATCACGATAAAAGATATGCCTACCTCTTGCTCACTTACCTCAGTAGCTCCAGAGAATGCAAATAAAATTCCCCCTGCTTCTTCCTTGAAAGGAAAAGTTTAATCCAAAACATCATGAAGCAGAATGGCTGAGATGCACTGAAATGTGGCACTTTAAAGGGCCTTTTGGAGCCTGCAGGGCAAGGCTTTTTAAGTTGCTGAGTTTTAGTGAGTCAGCCCAGGGCAGCCTCCAGCCAAGTTCTAGGCTCAGCATTGCCCAGATCCCGCTGCTGACAGTCAGCTGATTATCAGCACTGGGATGACAGCATACTACATGTTCAGCTTATGGTGCCATACAAACCAGCCTCAAAAATGTCACACATTTTTCAAGTAATATCTCTATCCTTGGTTTGCAATTTTATGGCACCATAAATTCCATGAATGTGTGGCCAATTGCTATTTCTGGAGTGATTAACACCTTGATTGCACAAGAAATATAATGTGTACCAGGGGCCTAAGTGAAATCTGCAATCCTTTGGGAAAAAAGGGTACTTCTTATATTACCCCTTGTAACAGGGGGCCTGCCCGGGGCCAACTTCCCAGTGGCCCACCCACCTGTTCCTGGGCTAACTGCCCGCATTCTCGCCCACCACGCCTTGTTGGTATAATTAATTAATGGGTGTTAATTAAGCAGGAGGCTGCCCATTTACTGCCCCGATGCCAGGGGGCACTATCTGCGGCTTCATTCCTCCCCTACACCGCAGCCCAAGGCTCACAGGTGGCATCTAGATGTTCTCATCCTCACCAGCCCCCCACACTGGACCCCAGAGTCCTCCTGATTGAACCCCGACCTAGAATCCTCTCCTCAGGAGGTCTCATCTGCCTTCATATTAGGCAGTATAGCTCCCTGAACTGCCTCCCCTTCCGGGTGTGATCCCCCCACTGGGACCTTTGGCTCTCTAGCCCTGGCCCACCTCCAGGCCAGTCAGAACCCCAGGCCCTCAGCTCTTGGGTGCCCCCCGCGGTGGGCTCCTGGCCCTTCGACTCTTCCAGTCCTGGCCCCAGCATGGGCCAGTCAGGGGAAGTTCAGACAGGCCTGAGTCTATGGCCCTTTTCTGTCTCCGAGGGTCCACTCTCTGGGCCCTCCAAAACAAGGGGTAATCCACTCGGTCGTGGGGGCTAGGGGTTAAGGCACCCCAACCCACCTTTCACCGGGGTGGTAACTGGCCTGGCATTTCCTGGGGGCTCCCGCCCCACTGGGAGCCCCACCAGGCCACCCACTCCTGGCAGGGTGCAGTTTTAGGTCATGCCCAGGACCAGGAGCCTCCTGACCATCCCCTACAGCTCCTCCCTTACCTCCAGAAGATACCAGCAGCCCGCCAGCCAGGCGGTGTTGTTGCCTGGCTCCAGTATCAGAACTGTCTTGTTTATATGGGCAGCCCTGGATCTAAACTGGCTACCCTCATCAGGCACCTGCCGGCTGCTGCCTTCTGGCCCTTAAAGTGGCAGGCACAAACAGTGCCCTGCCACACCCCTCATAGAGGGTAGAGAATTGCAAATGATCAGCAATTTGCTTGAAAATAAATCCAGCAATGCATTTAATCAAAACATTGGCTTCTTCCATTTATAATTATTTGCATTCAATGAACAAATATTTTAGTAATGAAAATGACAATTCCCCCACCATAGGCAAAGAAGGCTCTCAGTTTTCTTCACATTTCCTTGAAGAAACTGTCCTGTTTTCAGTGCCGTGTTGAAATATTACTGATTTGTATTTGAGCAGTGCCTTGATGTCTCAGTCAGGGATTAGAGTTCTGTTGTGTGAGGTACTGTTCCACTGTGCATACACAAAAGATCTCTGGAAGAAAAAAGTATTTTCTCTCACTCCTGCCTCAGTGATAGAACACTATTCCAATCTGCAAAATGGGCAAGAATGCTACAGACTTCATTGTAAAGTGCTTGCAGTTCTACTGATGAAAAGTTCCAGCTAAGAGTGTGGACACATGGAACAATTGACTCGTTCCCAAATACCGCTGTTTGGGAACTAGTTCACTATTGTCACAGGTCAGAGGTATCCACAAGTCCATTGGGGGAGGAGGAGGGAAAGGGGAAATGCTTGCACCAATGCTTTGGAGATCACATAGATTCATAGATTAGTAGGTGACCTCTGGTTGGGGGTTTTTAACTTTTTTCACTTTCTCTTCTCTCCTCAACATTAGTGCAGTGAAGTTCATTAGCCTTCACTTGATCAAACTCCATGGTGTGCTTGCCTGACTTGTGGTGTCTGAGAGGGAGGTTGTGCTTTGACCCATTTTTTTGGGTTTCCTGGGGCTGAGGTGGAGACATGATGTGGGGCTTTTGTCAAGTAGAAGTGAAGACACAGGTGGTTGTTAGGATAGATAGCTTTTATTGAACAAGCAGTGCAAGGGAGCTCATTGATATAAAGTGCCATGTAAAAGAAAAAAAAAAGGGAGCAGTAGGGTTCTGACTACATACAGAGGGTTCAGTTGCAGCAACCTGGGGGAGAGGGAGGCGGGGGGGCATTAAGGGTGGTGAAGAATGATGCAGTGTTGGATGTCTGGAGGACCAGCCAGACCTGTGTCATAGAACACCTGGTATCTACACAACAGTGAATAACTTCAGAAAAGTAGTTAGTTTTCCTGGTATAATTTTGAGCCATTCCAGGCAGGTTTAAACCACAGGTCTGTCTGCTTCAGGTTTAAATTGCATTTAAAACAGTTTAAGTGCTGTGTGTGTCCATACTCTCTGGTTTAGGATCATTTCCCAGTTTCATTAACTGTGAGATTCAACCCCTTGAGAAACTCTCTGAAGACAGCAGAAACTACAATGATATATGTAACATGATGCCAAGCATTTTCCAAGTCTGATACCAATCAGCTCTGCTTTCTCATTGGAGAGTGAGACATATAATTTATGGAGATAATCTGCATATAGGTTTTGCTTGTAAAAATGAATCAATTATATGAAAGGGATATGATATCTTCTGCACCGTTTCTATGTAAGTTACACTTCCTGGTAATAACTCTGTGCTTCATGTAAACACCTGGCAAGGTACATTTTCATGGCCTCTGGCACTGGGTAATTTCTGAAAAAGTGAGAGTTTGCCAAGAAAGGTTTAATATCAATTATTGTTGGCCCATGCCCATTCCCTGGGCCAACTGAAAATAACCATAC